TGCATGTTTTTTTTCTAATCTCTCATCTCTTCTTTTTTGCTTTTGGGGGCAATCACTGTGGACGGCTTTTTCTTTTCTACTCTTCCCTCTTTTAATTGTTTCTTCTGCACTCTTCCTGTGAGGGGTGCCGTGTGTTTCCCGCCCAACTGCTCCGCCCGCACACCCACCGACACGCTCGTGACGACGGCCCTGTGCGCCTCGCCTGCTGCACGCATGAGGAGGGGCCGCGACGAACGGCGCGCTGAGGGAGCCGTGACGTGTGGGCGTGCGACGAGGGCCTGTGGGGCGGAGCACACATTTCTTTCCCTCTTGTTTTGTTTTCTTGCGGCCAGGGCGGGCAGACACCCGCAGCGCCACACACACACAGCCACACCCTGCCGCCGTGTTTTTAAGATTTTTTGCTTTGCGTGTGCATTTTTCGCGCTGGCATTTCTTTTGGTGTCGGCCTCGTGAGCATTTCTTTTCCCCTCCGATGATTTTTTCTTTTGCTGCGCTCACTCTCCCGATGGAGTGACGCGACTCCCGTCATGTCTGCGTGCTTCTCTCAGTCCCCACACACACGAGTGACTGTGCTCTGCGGGCCGTACTCACGCGCCGATGAAAGGGCTGAGGGGAGCAGCAACACGCGGATGACCCCATGAAATATAAACGATGTGCGGACACGCAGAGGGTCAGACGGTTGAAAGACATTTAAATATCTTTTAATTTTATTTTCGGACAAAATATGCAGACAATTTCTGGAGCAAGATGGTAGTTAGATGCTTTTTAAATTTGTGTGGAACAGTAATGGACGATTTTTTTTTTATTTATAATTATTTTGTGTGATGGGGTTTATATAAGACGAAGGGGAAAGCTTTTTTTATTTTAAATAATTTTTGTGTGAATTGCCGCTGCTGGGGCTGCAGTGCAATATCATGAGCCTGAGCAGTCTTTTTCTCTTTATTTCTGCCATGCACCTCCGCTGTACATTTTTGTGTGTCTCTCCAGATACTCTGCTTTATTTCTTTTCTGCTTCTTTGCGTTGTGTTTCTGCAGGCACACACAACCACACACACACACATAAGATGCTCATTGCAGTGGATTTGAATGCTTCTTTTGCAGTGCATGCTGGCAGTTGCGTGTGGCGGCTGTTCTCTTCTTCCGTGGCCATGAGGAGAAGGGAGAGAGGGAGTGCGAAGCCCGCGTCTCCTTTCCTGCGGGTGTGGAGCACCGCGTGTGGCTGGTGTGGTGGGTGCTCGCTCCGTGTGCGTTGTGTGGTGGCCGCGGGTTTTGGCCATTTCCCGTTGGTTGTGGGAATGATCTGGGAGGAGATGGTGGTGGATGTCTTCTCCTCCTGCATGGTGAGTGGCTGCTGGCGTTGTGTGCCTTCCTTGCGTGGATGCCGTCTCGTGGTGTGTGGACTGTGCGGCTGGGCCTGCTGCCTTCGCATTTTGTCTGCTCTCTCTCGCTGTATCCTCGGTGCTCCGTCTCTCTCCCTCTTGTTGCATTCTTTTTCTTCTGCCTCACGGATCAGCTGACTGGCTCCAGCGGCTCCACTACGGGTGATGGTGACTGCGGTGATGACGATGATGACGCTGCGGCGCCGTGTGGTGTGCGCCGTGTTGGTCATTGCGCTCTTGTGCTGCTGTTGGGAGTCCTGGAGGTGTATCTGGTGCTGCGGATGCGGTGGTTGTGCCGGTGGATGTGTCGTGTGCTCCGAGTGACGGCGGCCTGAGATATCGCGTGCATGTGTGTGTGTGGGCGTGGAAGAAGTGTTCTGCTGCCGGTGCTGAGGCTCAGCATGAGAATTATACTTTCAGCGGCTTTGATGTGCGCATGCATGGCAGGAATGGTGAGCTGGGTGCTGTGTGCCATGTGGCCAATGCGGTGCACACATGTAGCAACTGTGCTGCCAGCTGTGCAGCGAAAGAGGAAGGGGCCACCGTTGCCTTCACGATGGACGTGACGACACATAAATACGCCGGCCCTTATGAATTGTGGTGGCGTCAATTTTTTCCCGATGGAACCATCCATCCGCCTGCACGGAGCAGCGATGCTGACCAGACGGGCATCTGTGAGTTGCCGCCACCCCGTGAAGGGAAGGATGACACAAAATCTGGTGGGACAACTGCGCCGCAAGTTGATGCTGAGCCGTCACGTCAACACGAGGATTGGCGACAGTCTGCGGCGGCTGACGGACCCAACACCGTCGATCCGAGTCCCGCATCCAACACGGCGACCAACACGTCCGAGACGAGGCCTGAGTTTGCCAGCAATCCGAACGAAGTGATGGTCCCGAAGGCATCCAAGAAGAGGCCTTCCTTTGCCAACGGTCCGAGAATATTAGTGGCGCTGAATGCATCGGGGATCATGTCTGTCACTTATGGCGGCAGGGAACACGTTGCTGCGGATAACACGGACGAGGTGAGTGAGCACGACGCCACCGGACACAAATCTCTCGTTTTAGAAAATGGCGTTGCAGGCAGTGGATTTGTTGCTGAGGGTGATGCGGACGGATTGACTCAACGCAATGCCTCTGGACACGAAAACCCCAATTACGAGAATTCACCGCGCAGTATTCCGGAAACGGTGTGTGTCCCGACGACTGCTTTGCCCTGCTCAACGACGCGAAATTGACACTGCGTGAGTTAACTGTTGACGGCACTGTGTGTGTGTGCGTGTATTGGGCGTTGCTGCTTCTTTTGGGATTGTGTGGAGTTGTGGCGGTCTTCTGAGCCAAAGAGTGTGGAATTGCGACTCCTCACGGAGAACATGTGCCGCGTTGCATGCGTGTTTCCTTTTATTACTTTTTTTTGCTTTTGTTTTTTGTTTTTCTTGGAATGATAAGTGTCCTTGCTGTTTCTTTATTTAATGGTCGGTTGCTGCACACTGTCATGAGCGACGTGTTTCTCTCACTTGTTTTGTTGTTTGTTGCCCACACGCGGTGCCGGCCTCATTGCTGTGCGTTCCACGGACTGCACGAAAGGAGGATTGGAGGAACAGGCCGGATGCCGCAATGAAGTGTGAAGGAATGTTGTGTGGGCTGGTGGAGCAGGACGATCTTTTTTTATTATATTTGGTGCAGGCATTATGTATACAGAAACACACGGTTGTCTTGTGCTGCTTGGCACATTAAATAGAATTTCTGCCCGATTGATTTTTTATATTCCTCCCCTGGAGTTCTGATGGACTCCTATCATTTTTTTTTTTTTGCTGTTGTGTTCCTTTTTTGTTTTTTTCCGCCCTTTTAAGTTCTTGTTTGCGGGTCGGTGTGGGAGTTCTGCGGTTGTAATGATTCCATCTGTCTTTTTTGGTGTGCGCTTCTTCTGGCTGCTGCCATTTATTACCATGCGGTGGCTGTGCGTGGTGTAGCTGCTGTCTCTCTCTACTTTCTCATGCTCCTGCAGATCGAATCCACGTTATTCAACAACGATAGTTTTGACGATGATGTGCCGTGTGTTTTGTGTCGTGTTGGTGCTGGCACTGCTGTGCTGCTGCTCGTGCGTGTTTGCCGTGGAGGAGCAAGAGCCGCAGGTGACGCAGGTGAATGCAGAGTGTGCGGGTGACGGTAATGTTGCGCGTTGGCACCTCCCTGGGACGTCATTGTGGTACAACTGCACGACTGCAGCTGCTGGTTTTGGGCTGATGATTTGCGGCATGGGCGTCGGAAACTGTGAGCCCGAGGATGTTCAGAGACGTATAAAAGATGGTGCGAAGGATGGCGTCTTCACGATCAACGTCACATCGCCCACTCCAAGCGCGGTGAAGAGTTGGTGGGAGCGTAACGTGGAGACGAAGGCGGTTACCGTTGCAATTGTTCCGGCAAAACCTCCGGAAGTTCCTCGGAGCCCTCCAGATGACAAGGATTCTCGTGACACCTCCACACCAGATTCTGAACCTCCTGCTGACGCTGCGGATTCCGCTGGTGCCCCTTCACTGGCTGGAGCTCCGGGCAGCGCTGGTGAAAGTGTTCCGGCCACACGTCCGGAAGCAGGCACTCCGGCGGCTCGACAAGAGGAGGCTTCTCGCGACGCCTACACAACAAATTCAAAATCTTCTCCTGCTGTCGTTGAGAATTCCGCGGATGTCCCTCCTTCTTCTCTACCTGCAACTCCAGGCGGCGCTGGTGCTAACTCTGCTGCTGGCGCTGCGGCCACGACGGATCCTTCTGCCGCGGCCTCGCAAGCGTCGGATTCCGCTTCCTCTGCTGAGCTTCAAGGCCCTTCACATTCTACTTCTGCTGCTTCTCCTGCATCCGAATCCCCACCAGATCCAAAGCCCACAGAAGGCGGCGACCACTCCTCCCATGACCCTCCAGTGGAGCTGCAGGAAGAGACTGCTGCTGCGCCACCGACTCAGTTGTCCCAGACCGGCGAGGACGGGGGTGCAGCGGAAGGCGCCGAAGAGGACACAGCCGACACCACCGAAACTGCTTCTAGCGAAGGAAATAATATGGCGTCAAGCATGCCGGCTCCCCTTTCCTCTGCGCCCACAAAGAACGCGTTGGAGAACAGTGTGGGAACTGACGCCTGCTTCCATGACACCCATCTGCATGCCCTGCCACTGCTTGTTCTGGCTGCACTCACCTACGGGACACTGGGCTGAAGAAGTGAATGCGGGCTATTAAAGCCAGCACTCAACCACGGGATGCTTTGCGCTTCTTTTGTTTTATTGTGTAATAAATAAGAGAAAATAATGATCTTCTGTTCTGCTTCATTTGCTTCAGCTGCGCTGCTGTGTGCTCCATGTTGTTGACCCCTGTATCCGTCACTTGGCACGCATCCCAGACACACTTGTATGCACGACACGCCCACAACTGATTGCGTGGACGCATTTTTGTGTGCTGGTGCATGCACGCTGGAGTCATTCGTTGCAGCTCCTTGTGTTTTGTTTTGTGTGTTTTTACTTTTTTTTTTTCTGTTGTTGTTTCGTTGTTACTTGTTTTTTGTGTTCATTTTGCTTGTTTTTTACTTCCTTCGGGGCGTTGTGAGTTTTTTTCATTTTTTAATGGTTTATTTTCCTTAATTTTTTCTTTTTTTTTGTTTACTAATCTTTTGCTCCACCATCTCTTCTCTTTTTTGCTTTTGGGGGGCAATCACTATGGACGGCTTTTTCTTTTCTACTCTTCCCTCTTTTAATTGTTTCTTCTGCACTCTTCCTGTGAGGGGTGCCGTGTGTTTCCCGCCCAACTGCTCCACTCGCACACCCACCGACACGCTCATGACGACGGCCCTGTGCGCCTCGCCTGCTGCACGCATGAGGAGGGGCCGCGACGAACGGCGCGCTGAGGGAGCCGTGACGTGTGGGCGTGCGACGAGGGCCTGTGGGGCGGAGCACACATTTCTTTCCCTCTTGTTTTGTTTCTTTGCGGCCAGGGCGGGCAGACACCCGTAGCGCCACACACACACAGCCACACCCTGCCGCCGTGTTTTGTTTTCCTTTTGTTTTGTTTTTTGTGGATGGGTGTGTGCTGCCACCGTGCGTGATTGTTGAGGTTTGGGCCGTACCGCATGTACCGCTGCCATCCAGCTGTGCCTCTTGCCGTCCTGATGTGCCTCCCTGTGCCTCCTCTTTTCAGCTTCTCCAAAAGACACCCACACACATAAGTGGTTGCACAGTGCTCTGCAAGAATGTATTTGCACTGCCGAGTACGTGCTTGCGTCCCGTGCTGACATGATGACGCGTGACGGACGGCGCCACGATGGACTCCTCTGGCGGTGGCGGTCGCTGTGTTCTCTCGGCACACTTCCACACACACTTCCTTGTCTCTCTGTGGGAGTGATGGCAACACGGCTGCACGATGCCCGCCGTGTGTGAAGATGCCAGCTCTTGGGATTCTTTTCTCCTCGTTGTTTTTGCACTGTCAGTTGTGGAGCGGCGAGGCGGTTTGCCTGCAGTTTGACTGACAGAACCGCACAGTTGTTTCAGTGCGGTCACTCCGTCGGCATCATCCGCTGCGGTGGTGTCCGCAAGAGCCGCGGCCCCGATGAGGATGACCTCGTAGTTATCTGGCAGCTCAGAACTTCCGGCCCTTCGCCCCTCAGGATAGCCCTTGCTGCTCGACTGGCGCAGCACCATCCCGACATGGTTCTTCTGCAGGAGTGCAGGCACGAGAGTGCCCCAGCGACGAGGCTCATTGGCTGCGGTGTCTTCCGCCAGGCCTGCAGTGGGCGTGCCGGTGGCGTGGCCTTCTTGGTGCGCCACACCTTGCCGTGCGAGCGCCTGTTGCTCGTGGCACCAACTGCGTGGAGACCACCGCCTTCCGCGTGCGCCCACAGGCCTGCTCCAGCATGTACGTGGTGAACCTCTGCAACCTCCCACGGCAATGGCTCACACTGCTCACTTTGCGAGCAACATTCGTCGCTTTTCACACCATGAGCTGCGGGACGGTCGCTCACCATCAACGACGGCAGGAGAGGACCTCGCCGCCACCCCAACCGGCATGGAGGTTGAGCTTTCCGACGACCCGGCACAGGCAACGTGGAGCAGCGGCTGCAGCGTCTCGTTTCCCGATGTGACTGCGCAACGCGTACTGCGTGTCTCCCACTGGACGTCCACCCGTTTACATGGACTCGGACCACCATCTGCCATCCCACACTGCAGGGACGGAGGACGGCATCCCGCGACAGGCAGGCATGCTGTCACGACGGAAACATGTCGCCGTTGTCCTGCGTGAAGCTGACTGTGATGCTTCCACCTCGGCGTGTGCAACGTCTCTGGCCGCTGTGACCACATGGTTGGAGATGCACCGAGGCACCGTACGAGCGGCAGCCGTGACAGTCCCACAGGAACCTGGACGGACGGAATGTAGCAGGCCGAGTGTGTTGCAGCGGCAGCCTGCCCCGAGCTGAAGTGCTCCGCAAACGGGAGGACCGCAATCATGCCCTCCGCCGTGGCTTCTCCATGCTGTCAGAGGTCCGTGCGAAACAGCTTGGTGCCCTCTCGATCCCAGGCCTGTGATACCCTGAGGCATGGCAGCGCCACGTTCCTGCCCTCTGGGATCGGCTGTGCTGCGGTGCTGTTGGGACCGCGTCTGTGCTCTGCCTCCGCCGGAACCTCTTCCCGAAGTGAGCACCGCCACTCCTTGCCGACCAACAAGCGGCTGATGGACGTCCTCCTGCCCACTCCTCGGCAGACCGGCACGCGCCCTGCAGATCACAAGCAACCCTTTATGTCGGTGGTGCTGCCCTCCCTCACACTGAAGAGGCAGGACCGCCCCGACCTCCGCCGGAACCTCCACCTGGCGTGTCCACGGCACCTCCTCGTAGAATGACGAGCAGCGGATCAACTTCGCCCTGCCCAAGCTGCAGCAGCGTCTTCTCGTCCGTCCACAATATGAAGGCACACGCCCGACGCACTAACCCTGGCACTCCAATCGTTGCAGAAGGCCTCACATGTGGATTCTGCGACAGCTCCACGGTCTACCCAACAAGTGCCTCACGCGCAGGTCACCACCAAAAATGTCAGGCGTATCAACGAGCAAAAAACGGACCACGCACCTCTGCAAGCTCCAATGACAGCCATAGCCCTTCAGCCACTCCTCCGCTACTGCAACCCCACCAGCCGCTGAGCCCCCGACAATCCACGGGAGGCCGTGCCGCACACGCTGTGGGAATGCCCCCGTCCTCGACAACTGAGCATCCGACTTTTTGGGAACACACCCTCTCGCACGACAGCACCGTTCAAGACGGAAAAACTGGCCACATCGCTACGGACAGCCCGCAGGCCATTAACAAACAGTGGCAGCAAAGTATAACAAAACAAATACTTCTCTTTTCTCAGCATAGAAAAACGTCACCTTCACACTCGCAATTGCCACCAATGAATGCATTGCGTACTACCGCTCCGAGCTGCAACAATTCCTGGTACCATCCATGTCCCTTGTCGACACATTGATGCGGACGGGCGCCCATCCATTCCTCCCAATGACGGTGCATGTCTGCGACGCACCCTCAGATCCAAAAGGCACGTCCCTCACCACAGCCGGGATCGACTTCGCCCTGTCGGCACGCATCGCTTTGTCAGAGGAGCAGGAGTACGTCAGGCTGGCAGCAAAGCACCCGCCGGCACAACACATCATCACAACCAGAAGCACCAGCAGCACTGCAGACCGTGGGGTGACGTGGATCAACCGACACATGCTGTACGTAAAAGAAAAAAACACTTAATGGCTTGACAAGAATAAAAAAGACTTACAGTCGCTCAAAAAAAAAACAAATAAGATAAAAAGACAATTTAGGCGTACGCAGTCAACAAAAAACAATAATCGAAAACAAGGGTAATGGGTGCACTCAACCACAACACAAGCAAAACAATAAAAAAAAAAACAAGAAGCCGAAGCGTGGGACGACCAGCACACACACTCTCATTGCTCCCGTAAAGCAAAACACACACACACAGGGAGAGAGAGAGAAAGGTCGTCCACTCAATGCAATGGAAACAAAACAAAAACAGTTACGGTGCTCCGCCCATGCAGCCAGGCAGGACGGCAGCGGTGCGTGTGCTGCAAAAGAGAGCACCAACGGGCCTGCATGGGTGTGCATTCATATATACAATGGGCACATTATGTGTGTGCTTCGTGGGGTGAGGTGAGGGCGAGAGTCCATGCAAGGGGACACACACACAGAGAGTGAGAGAAGGACGAGTGTGTGTGCGGGCGGTGCACGGCTCTCTCTCCCTCACTCTCACGCGGCCACCACTACAGCAGCAGCCGCACATGCAACAACAAGAAGAAGCAAAAGAGGGGAGGTGGTGTGGGAGACCGCGGTGCTGCTGTCATTTTCGGCAGGCGTCGTCGTAACATTTGTGTTGGCGGTGCCTGTTGGTTGGAGTGATGCATCACTCATTTTGACGGTGTTGCTCTCACCATCGTCAGATGTCGTCATGGAACTTGTTTGAGTGGTAATGGCCGGTGCGGCCGTGGAAGTTTCCCGAGGTTGTTCCAAGGAAGGAGTGACATTTTCACGTTCCTGGCCCTCTTCTGACGGTACGGCAACAATAATTTCAGTACTCCTCGGAGTATCTTCTGTGCGCTCCTCACTATTACTGCTGACAACATCGTTGTTACTTGAAGAAGATGGCGGATCATTGCGTGGTTGATCTCCAATTGATTCATTCTTCCTGTCCTCTTGACTGGGAGAAGTCTCCGGTTCCCCTGAAGAACCATCGGGTGAACCACCTTGCCGCTCTTCTTGCAATGATTGTGAATGTGACAGTGAATCCGTATGTTCGGAGCTGGATGGTGTCTGCTGTGTTGTTGATTCAGGCGGTAAATCAGCTTGCAATGGCGGAGCCACGAGTGGATGACCCCCAACGTTGTTCAGCTGCATTTGTTGTACAGTAGGGTTTCCCGCTTCACCAGACGCCGTCTGACCGCTGGCGCTTTCGGAGTCTTCATCACCCCCACGATTACTGAGTCCACTTTCAGAGCCTGCCGTTTTTCCCCCGTCAGATCTGCCACCGGCACCGCACCACAGCACGCAGAGGGCACACACCAGCAGCACACGGCCAGTCATCATCATCGCCATCACTCCTGTCACTTGCGTGTAGCCTTCAGCACAAACTAACAACACCCCGTCAGCGCAGAGTGAAAGCAAAAAGAGAGAGACAAGTCACACAACCCCGCACAGCCAGCAACGCACACACCGCAAGACAGAGGGAATCACTACGATTGCAGAACTCGCACACCCTCCCGCACAACAAAGCCCACAAAAAAACATAACAAAAGGAAGTTGACACTCCGATAAGACTTAAACAAAACAAAAAAAAAACATGAAAATCGATCCAGTAAGAATTTTATTTCATGCGCCAGGTAGCAAAAGAACAGCGTGTCTTCGTGTACACATATTTCCCACACCAAATATAACAAAAAAAGATCGTCCTGCTCCACCAGCCCACACAACATTCCTTCACACTTCATTGCGGCATCCGGCCTGTTCCTCCAATCCTCCTTTTGTGCAGTCCGTGGGACGCACAGCAATGAGGCCGGCACCGCGTGTGGGCAACAAACAACAAAACAAGTGAGAGAAACACGTCACTCATAAGAGTGTGCAGCAACTGGCCATTAAATAAAAAAGGGTGCTTATCATTCCAAGAAAAACAAAAAACAAAAGCAAAAAAAAAAAGTAATAAAAAAGAAAACCCGCAGGGAACGCGGCACATGTTCTCCGTGAGGAGTCGCAATTCCACACTCTTCGGCTCACAAGACCGCCACAACTCCACACAATCCCAAAAGAAGCAGCAACGCCCAATACACGCACACACGCACAGTGCCGTCAACAGTTAACTCACGCAGTGTCAATTTCGCGTCGTTGAGCAGGGCAAAGCAGTCGTCGGGACTCACACCGTTTCCGGAATACTGCGCGGTGAATTCTCGTAATTGGGGTTTTCGTGTCCAGAGGCATTGCGTTGAGTCAATCCGTCCGCATCACCCTCAGCAACAAATCCACTGCCTGCAACGCCATTTTCTAAAACGAGAGATTTGTGTCCGGTGGCGTCGTGCTCACTCACCTCGTCCGTGTTATCCGCAGCAACGTGTTCCCTGCCGCCATAAGTGACAGACATGATCCCCGATGCATTCAGCGCCACTAATATTCTCGGACCGTTGGCAAAGGAAGGCCTCTTCTTGGATGCATTCGGGACCATCACTTCGTTCGGATTGCTGGCAAACTCAGGCCTCGTCTCGGACGTGTTGGTCGCCGTGTTGGATGCGGGACTCCGATCGACGGTGTTGGGTCCGTCAGCCGCCGCAGACTGTCGCCAATCCTCGTGCTGACGTGACGGCTCAGCATTAACTTGCGCCGCAGTTGCTACATGTGTGCACCGCATTGGCCACATGGCACACAGCACCCAGCTCACCATTCCTGCCATGCATGTGCACACCAAAGCCACTGAAAGTATAATTCTCATACTGAGCCTCAGCAACGGCAGCAGAACACTTCTTCCACGCCCACACACACACATGCACGCGATATCTCAGGCTGCCGTCACTCGGAGCACACGACACATCCACCGGCACAACCACCGCATCCACATCACCAGATACATCTCCAGGACTCCCAGCAGCCGTCACGCACACAGACAAGCAGCACGAGAGTGTAAGGAACAACACGCCGCCGCACCGTCACCATCGCCACCATCGCAGTCATCGTCACCCGTAGTGGAGTCGCTGGAGCCAGTCAGCTGATCCGTGAGGCAGATGAAAAAGAATGGAACAAGAGGGAGAGAGACGAAGCACCGAGGATACAGCGAGAGAGAGGGCAGACAACATGACGAGAGGGCAGCAGGCCCAGCCGCACATTTCACACACCACGAGACGGCATCCACGCAAGAAAGGCACACAACGTCAGCAGCCACCCACCATGCAGGAGGAGAAGACATCCACCACCATCTCCTTCCAGCTCATTCCCACAGCCAACGGGAAATGGCCAAAACCCGCGGCCACCACACAACGCACACGGAGCGAGCACCCACCACACCAGCCACACGGAGCAAACAAACCCTCATCCATCCATAACGCGGCACCAAAATTTCCAGCCATCCCGCCCTCAATGGGACACAGAGCCCAACTCAGCGCAGTCACACGCGGTGCACCACACCCGCAGGAAAGGAGACTCGGGCTGCGCACTCCCTCTCCTTCCCTTCTCCTCACAGCCACGGAAGAAGACAACAGCCGCCACACGCAACTGCCAGCATGCACTGCAAAATAAGCATTCAAATCCACTGCAATGTGCATTTTGTGTGTGTGTGGTTGTGTGTGCCTGCAGAAACACAAAGCATAAAAGTAGAAAAAAGGAAGCAGAGTATCTGGAGAGACGCAAAAAAAAGAATGCACAGCGGAGGTGCATGGCGGAAACAACAAGAAAAAGACCGCTCAAATTCATGACTGCACTGCCGCCCAAGCAGTGGCAATTCACACAAGATTTATTTAGAACAAAAAATCTTTCCCCTTCATCTTATATAAACCCCATCACACAAAATAATTATAAATAAAAGAAATCGTCCATTACTGTTCCACACAAATTTAAAAAAGCACCCAACTACCATCTTGCTCCAGAGATTGTCTGCATATTTTGCCCGTAAAATAAAATTAAAAAGATATTTAAATGCCTTTCAACCGTCTGACCCTCCATTTGTCCAAACATCGTTTATATTTCATGGGGTCATCTGCGTGTTGGTGCTCCCCTCAGCCCTCTCATCGGCGTGCGAGTGTGGCCCGCAGAGCACAGTCACTCGTGTGTGTGGACTGAGAGAAACACGCAGACATGACGGGAGTCGCGTCTCTCCATCGGGAGGGTGAGCGCAGCAAAAGAAAAAAAAACTCAGGAGGGGAGAAGAAATGCTCACGAGACCGACAGCGAAGGGACTGCCGGCGCGAGAAATGCACACGCAAAGCAAAAAATCTTAAAAACACGGCGGCAGGGTGTGGCTGTGTGTGTGTGGTGCTGCGAGTGTCTGCCCGCCCTGGCCGCAAGAAAACAAAACAAGAGGGAAAGAAATGTGTGCTCCGCTCCACAGGCCCTCGTCGCACGCCCACACGTCACGGCTCCTCAGCGCGCCGTTCGTCTCGGCCCATCCTCATGCGTGCAGCAGGCGAGGCGCACAGGGCCGTCGTCACGAGCGTGTCGGTGGGTGTGCGAGTGGAGCAGTTGGGCGGGAAACACACGGCACCCCTCACAGGAAGAGTGCAGCAAGAAACAATTAAAAGAGGGAAGAGTAGAAAAGAAAAAAACGTCCATAGTGGTTGCCCCCGAATGAAAAAAAAAAAAAAAAAAAAAGGAATGAGTTAGTAAGAAATAGATAAACCCTCAAAGCAAACAAGAAATTAATTTAAAATACGCAAAAAATTGAAACAAAAAAACGATTTATGAAAGAAATTTGTTCCCATGGGAAAGAAAGTCTCTGCTGAGGAGGTCGCAATTGTCCCACGCGGCAGCCAGTCACTCCTCACAGAGCCGCAAACCCCCACAGTCCCAACAGAAGCAGCAGCAGCAGCAGTCCGCTCCCACGCAAAATGCCGCCATCGCTGTTATTCCCCTGCAACAAATGCCCGAGGCTGCCGTTGAGTGCCGCACCATTCACATCCCTGTTCTGTGGCTGGACCTCTTCCTCCTGCACATTCTTTCCTGCCACCGTTTCCTCATCCTCAGCGGAGCTCGCACCCACCTCAGTATTCACTGCGGTTCCATCTTGCCCCACGCCCATAGTTGTAGGGCCATTTGCATCTGCTGTGGCAAGGTTTCCCGTAAGAGTTTTGTGTGGTGCATCCTCCTGCGTTTTATCTCCATATCCCGTGCTCACCGTTTGGTAGCCATCAGCAGTAGAACCGCCATCCACGTTTTGATGCCCATCAGGAGATGTTCCTGACGCCAACTGCTTTACGGGCTCCTTGCCTGCTGAGGAACTCGTTACAGTGGACAGTGGTGATGCGGGTACACCGCCCGCACCGCTTTTCCCCAACGGCTGTCCTTTTTGCTCCTGCTGTTCAGCGGAAAAAGATGGAATCACGTTTCCTTGACCATTTTTGTTCACCAAAGGTAAAATAGAGGCTTCATTGGGATTGAAGGCTTCCATCTCATTGTCATCCTCCTCCTCCGCCTTCCTCTGGGCGTCAACGCTGTCACTTGCAGAGATGGACGATGGTGTTGAATCTCCTGAACGGCCTTTAGCTACATCCTTCATCGAATCGGATGTGGTTTTTCCTTCACCGTGCGTCTCTGCCTCAGCACCCTCTAGAGACGGTTCTGGTGCCTCGAGATCCGTTTTGGTTTGTGACGGCGGTGTGTTTCGATTCTCTTCTACTGAATTCCGTAAGTCTGCTGGTGCTAGTGGGGTTTCTTCTGCTGGGTACGCCGGTACTGGCGGTGTTGGCGGTGATTGGAGAGCGCTGGAAATGTCTCTCTTCACCACCTCACTCTGCCTTTTCTCGCTTTCTGTTGCATCCTTATTAGCCTCTGTACCTCCCGCTTCTCCTTGTTTATCAGAGATGTGCGTTTTTATTTTGGGATCTGACTTCTCCGGTGCCTTCACGATGGGCGAATCGGACTGTCCAGGCGTTTTTGTTTGTACTGACGGACCACTTACATCTGAAGATACCTCGTCCTCAGAATTGAGCGTTTCGCCAAGGGACTTTAGACCATCACCCTCTTCAGAAAGAGAATTTGGAGGAATACCACCAACAGAGAGAGGAGTTTCCAACGAAGACATCATATTTCCTTTGGGACCTCCAACAACAGAAAGAGGCTCCAAAGAGGAATTTACTTCAGGACCTCCACGTGAGCCACCTTCACTTCCAGCACTGTTGTCACCACCAGAGCTGCCACCAACAGCTGCCAAACCCTCAGCGTGTCCAAAAACCGCCGGCACCGCACCACAGCACGCAGAGGGCACACACCAGCAGCACACGGCCAGTCATCATCGCCATCACTCCTGTCACTTGCGTGCAGCCTTCAGCACAAACTAACTCCCCGTCAACGTAGAGTGAAAGCAAAAGGAGAGACAATTCACACCACACAGTGACAAATGAAGGCAGCAGCGGCAGCGGCAGCACATACACCATGAGGCAGTTGGAATCAGTGGGAGGGAAAACGCACAAAAACAGCCCCGCAGCAATTAATCAGCAATAAAAACAAAACAATTAAATAAAAAAATTAAACAAAACACGAGTAAAAAAGCAAAAAAAAAAACAAAACTAGAAACACAAAAAAAAGGAAGCTGCACCGAATGGCCCCAGTGTGCATGCATTCACACACGGACATGCGTCCATGCAAGCAGTTGTGTGCGTGTAGTACATACGAGTGTGCCTGGGATGCGTTCAACGTGACGGATACAGTGGAAAACAACACGGAGCACACAGCAACGCAGCTGAAGCAAATAAAGCAAAACACAATCATTATTTTCTCTTATTTATTTACATCGGACCACAGTGGACGTATACAAATCCCTGTGGTTGAGTGCTGGCACGCACAGCCCGCATACGCCTCTTCAGCCCAGAGTGGTGTACGCCAGCGCGGATACGGCAAGCAGCAGCGGGGCACACACCCA